CTTTACTGCCATTAATCGCGTCATAACCTTACGGTTAATATGAAGTTTATTAAAATGAAATTTTTGATTATTTGTATTGGGAGACCCCTCTCCCAATTTTGAAAAGAAAACAAACTTGCATTATGTGAATACAAACATTAAAATCTGTTTAGTATGGTGCTGTACACGGAAGTTGACCTGGGAGGAACCTCTGTGACCTACATACCATGGAAAACATCACCAGTCTTACCTCTAAACCAAAATCAACCAAAGAAAATATTTATATGCGACCATATATTTTCCTGAGAAATTTTCTCTCCCATTTGTTTAATAGGTTTTCTGCCATTTTTGTTAGGATCCAAGTTTCACTTGCATATGTTAAAACTGTTTACATGTAACAATCTTGTCAGTTTGTTGGGTATGCTAAACTCCTGCGAATATAATCATAGGCCATTTTATAGTCCACATAGAGTTGATGTACTGGGATTCGTAACATTTCTCTATACTAACAGTCATCTGATGGTGAAAATCTTATCACTGGTTGATCTATTTTGTCTGATTCCACATTGGTAGTCACCTAGTATTTCTTTCGTGTAAGGTTGTAGTCTTTTGGCAATTAGTTTTGTCAGTATTGTGTTTGTAACATTTAATAGGGAAATTCCTGTAGTTTGTGCACTGAAGTTTGGAGCTTTTCAAGTTATTAATGCTGTTTCCCATTCTGTTGGAATTTTCTCTTCTCTCTAAATTTTACTTATAAGTTTATGAATCTGAGTGTGTAATTTCATTAACAGACCTGTTTACTCTTAGGATTGTGGCGTACAATGTACGATTTTGAGGTGTATAGATTGTATATATTGTATGTTTTTTTACCATAAATATAACGTATTGAACGATTTTGTGATGATATTTTACGATTTTAAGGGTTTGATTGTAAACAGGTCTGCATTAAAGTAAATACTAACTTCTAAAAAAATGTTTTCTAAAAAAATTGGTAAATTAAAATTTCATTGTTTGGTTAATTATAATATTAAAATTTTTGTTAAATTTGCGCAGTCTGTGCCATGACATTTCCCATGGCCACCATCTTGGTTGCCATGACCCATATTAAGGAAGCTTAAATCTCATTGGTCTGTTCAAAGTGACCTTTGGCCTTATGTTTGGATCAGTAAGTAATCTAAACAGAATCTGAGCCAGATTCTTTTATTATCTACTAAGTCATGATATACCGGTAGTTATTATGGGAATCCTTACGATAGTATCTTCTTTTGGTTGTAACCATAATTACAAAAATGTTTTTGTAATAATTTTTGCAAAAACTGCAGTGTCCGTAATTAGTGTCCCTTTCATTTTGATTAAATAACTAAATAGATTTAATATAAATTACAATGAAAGCTTTATGAGTAATTATTTTTAGTACTTTTTAACACTATTACTATTATGCCTATACATTAATAAATTTAACTATGAATGTGTGTGGGATTTTCTTTGTTGTTAAAGTAGGCAAATATTTTATTTAAGACTGATATCAGTAAGAACTGAATACAGTATTATTTATTTTTTTTTAATCTATTATTTTACTCCAGCTGGAAACTTCCTATTAAGTGGTTTGAACCTAGTTTTTTTTTAAATGAATGTTGAAATGAGAAACACATTGCGGCAAATTTCTTATGCTAAGGGAGTGGCTGGTTAAATAACCTAGAATAAATGATGCATCTTTAATTATATTATCCAATGTATTTAGCAAAAAAGACATTTAATTGTTTCTTCAGGCCATTTATGAAATAGAAGCACATTTTAAAACATAATTGCGCAAACAAAACTTTGAGGCAATGAAGGGATATTCTAGATCTATTGAATCCTTCTTTTCTCAGCCCTATCAATATCATGTAGAAATCAGATAAATTTACAAGGGTGAGTATCTTATTTGCAAATATCATTGCAATCACATTTAGTTTACATTGCAAAATTAAAATTTACATTTGTTTATTTTTGGTTTTTAAACCAATCAAGGAATTATGAAGGAAAAGTTTGCATTCAAAACATTAAAATAAAAATGAAAAAATTATAAATTATTGGTACTTTTTTTTACCTTTCTTTTTTTTTTCTGTAAAATTTTTCATGCGGTTGTAAATTTTTCTTTGGGGACTCTTTGTAAAGTTTTCGATCCAGCGGTTTGGCATGTGTGTGTATGGTTAGCCTAGAATTTTTTAGCCTTTTGATTTTTAATTTGCTAAAATTCTTTCATCTGCAGATTCTAAATTACTGATGAAAATATGAGATATTAAAATCTGACTTCAGATATCCTTGACTAAACCTGAAGAATACTCAAGCATCAGATCATGGCATTACTACTGTCATGTCAGAGATTAAGTCACATTTATAAAATACCAAGCCTCAGTCCAAAATTGTGCAGGGGTTTCCTGAAATCGAGTAGAGGATGCGAAAACATAAAAAGTCCCTTCACAGACAGTTCTTTAACACACTTAATTGAAAGCCATGTAAAACAAAATGGAACTCTTTCAAGAACCTATCACACACTGTCAAAACTGAAAAATAGAAAATTTATTGATGAGGTTTTACAGGGACCATCTTGGCGCTCAAGGCAAATTTTTAGATCATGTCGAAGGAATGAGACCACCACACCTAAAAAGGAAGCAAACAAGCTAACTGAGGCTGGAAAAGCCCCCCGCCGATCACTACCAAAGCCAGTAGATGTCAGAAGACTTCTTGGTCTAGCAAAACCCGAAAGATGGAAACTTGCAGGTTGTTTATAATGTTGAGCTTATTTTAGTGTACAATGTTTTGTCTATTTATTATTTGTAAAAGTCATAAATGGTTATCATTTAGAACAGGGATCTCCAAACTTTTCAGCCCGACGGCCGCATTAGCTATCAAACAGCAGTTCGGGGGCCGAATACACACTCGAGGTCCAAATAAAAAAGAATCAAAACATGGATGTTGTTTTTAATTATTTATGTATTATTATTTCATTCAGCTATTATTTAATAACTCATTGATAGACTACCCCTGTATTAGTGAGAATGGTGAAATTGTTTCCTGGATGCCAAAATAGCAGTGATTAGCAGACATTTCTTGATTTAGATTTGATGTCCCTAACACAGTCAGATGAGATTATCATCGGACAAATTTGTTCTCAAATTGTTCTTCACGTATTTCGTTCTTGAAAATGTTTGTTCACACAGGTATGTTGTTCCAAAGATTGAAAGGTACACTGATGCAAATTGAAATTAGAAGTCTTCCATTGGCGAAAACTAGTTAAAAACCCATCGGTCCTTCTTTTAACTTGACCCTAAGGAGGTCATTTGCTTGCAACTCAATGACCTCCAGGTGCAGTTCATCGGGCGACTGGCCACAGCTGCTTCAAATGGATTTTGAAAAAGTCTCACTTCTTCTGCCTTTAAATGTAAGTCAGAAAACCGCTGATGAAACTGCAGCTGGGGGTCTTTGATGATCTCGCATACAAATGACGTGGGGAACTCCGCTGTTGCTTCAGTCATGAAGACCATCCACTGCTGAAGTGTGTCAAGTTGTTGGCCTGTACTTGATCCAAAAAAAACAAGACAAATTTTTATCTGAAGGCCTTTAGGTGGGTGTATAGATCAGAAACTAGATTTTCCTCTCCTTGTAGTTTTAGGTTCAGAAAATGTAAATGACTAGTTATGTCTGCAGCAAAGACCAATTTTCATACTCACTCTTCATCAGACATTAATGGCTGTGGCTTGCCTTTACTTTCCAGGAAGTCAACTATTTCCTTTCTTAACTTAAATACTCTGCTCAGAACTTTCTCACAACTTAGCCATCTTATTGCTGTGTAATAAGGTAAATCTTGCGATTCTGTGTCTGTATCTTTAAACAGGTCTCTGAACTGTCTATGATTGAGCCAATGTGACCTTATTAAATTAACCCTCTTTACCACAGGATTCAGTACGCTGCTAATGTCCACATATTTAGCACACAAAGCTTTCTGCTGAACAATACAGTGCAGGAAGATTGGTAGCAGACATTTTTTTGTCATTACACATCTGCTTCACTTGTCCAACCAAGCCTTTCTTTATGCCATCATGTTATTTCATCCGTCAATAATAAGGCAACTGAGGTTAGTCCAGTGCAAGTTATAATCAGCAAATGTTTTGTTCAACTCATTGAATATGTCCTCTTCGGTAACAGTGTTGTACATGCTATGTAGGAAAGCCAGCTCTTGTGTTATGTTCATGTCTTCATCCACACCTCTAACGAACGCAAGCAGTTGAGAGGTGGAACAGCTGTCCAGCGATTCATCCATTGCAATTAAAAATTGGCGAAACTTGCTTGCATTTTTCGCTATTTGAGTCACAATGTTTTCATGCAGCGAATAAGGTTTTGCCAGGTAATGATCGGTTAGAAAACATAACGCACTACTGCGCGCCTCTATTTAAATTCTGTAAAAATATAACGTCCACGTTAGTGGCATCCGATCTTTGCAGGATACACGTAAATTTTCTTAAATTTTTTCCGTAGACAAAAAGGTCTCCGCGGGCTGTAGTTTGGAGACCCCCTGATTTAGATTATGGTATTTTCTTTTTTTTTTGCCACTCATTTTATTAAAATTTATTTAAGGATAAAATCTTTAATAATCACCAAGTCTCTTTTAGCTGCATATATATATATCTAGTACAGTGCTTCTCAAACTTTTCAAAGCAGCAGATCCACAGGAATTTATCCCCATTGTAGCACGGACTGGTGTAAAATTTTATGATTATTTTTTTTGAAAAAAAAAATATGCTTAAATATTTCACCTTTTGCTGATCTGTAACCTGGGAGCGGCGAATACTTTGAGATGCACTGGACTAGGGCACACAAGTCACCTGGTACTGTGAGCCAAAAATATTTTTAATTTTCCTATTAATTTGCTACAGTAATTCTTAAAAAGCAAGTTAAATGGGTTTGATTTAATGACCTAAATTTCGTATATTTTATGAATCTAAAATGATCTGCAAATGAATGTGTAATGTAATGTTTGGTATCATTTTGCAGGGGCTATATGCTGTTTAGTGATATCAAGTGCTGTAACACTTTCTGTGCCATTTTTCATTGGAAAAATCATAGATCTAATTTACACGTCAGAGAAAGAGAATATGTTATCAACACTGAGGACATTCTGTGCAAGTTTAATTGTTATCTTCATAATTGGTGGCCTTGCTAATTTTGGCAGAGTGTACATCTTACAAAGTGCCAGTCAGAGGATTGTTAAACAATTAAGAGAAAAACTGTTTACCAGGATCATGCACCAAGAGGTCGGTTTCTTTGACAAGACCAAAACTGGTGAGTTGATCAACAGACTGGCAGTGGATACACAGGTTGTAGCACAGTCTATGTCGCAGAACATTTCGGATGGATTTCGTGCTATTTTACAAGCATCAACAGGAATTGGTATGATGGTTAGTAGCCTCTTTCATTGAAATAAATATTTTTTATTTCATTTGGTTTTCTTTCTCACAAGTTAATCCTAATGAATGATATTGCAGTTTATGTCTGTCAGCAGTTATAAACAAGAATGCATTTCAAGTCACAGGAAGACTAAAAAGATAAATCAGTAAATTTTACAATTTTATAAAAATAAAATAAGGCTAATTGAGCTCAGACTGCTTTTTCTATAACTCTTTAATCAATATTTTTGGTACTGTTGTTAAACATCTCAATGATTTTTGTTTAAAATAATGAATTCAATGGGGTTTTTGTCAGGGCTATAAATCATTTTATCCTCCTTATTATAAAATGTTGCTTTACATCTATTCTAGAGCTTTATATCAGCCAAGTTAACTCTGATATCAATGGGTATTGTACCACCTGTTGCCATAGGTTCCATTATATATGGTCGTTACCTGAGGAAGATCACAAAGCAAGTTCAGAACTCCCTTGCTGATGCCACACAGGTAAACTAAAGAATTATAACCCAATTCTGATAAAATATCAATTCTTTGTTTTCAATTTTAAAAATTAGTATTTTCATTTTCTGTTATTTGAATACCTAAACTCCCTAGTGTTTTTAAAAGGAAAAATGAGATTAACCTAGTTTTTATTTGTGTATCCAAATTCATACAGTGCTGTTTTATGTGCTTTTAATTGAAATCATTTATCATATATATCTTGCTCTCTCAGGTTGCTGAGGAGAAAATCGCCACAATAAGAACTGTTCGTGCATTTGCACATGAACCAAAAGAATGCAAAGCCTACAGTGATGGCGTGGAAAAAGTTCTTCAGCTGTCCTATAAGGAGTCCTTAGCTCGTGCTATTTTCTGGGGTTTTGTAAGTACTCATTATAAGCATTAGAATTTTTTTTAAAATTCCTACAATGTATTCTCTTAATATTCTCCTCAGTCTGTTAGTGATATAAGGGATTTTACAAAACCACTGTTAAAAAAATGTTTTAACAGAGTAATCTAGTATATTTTTCCTAATCGAATCATTTAAAAACAGAGATATCAATAAAAAGTAATTTGATCATTGTAACAGACCTGTTTACCCTCAAACCCTTAAAATCGTACAATATCATCATAAAATCGTTCAATACCTTATATTTATAGTAAAAAACAAACATACAGTATATATAATGTTTACACCTCAAAATCGTACATTGTACGCCAAAATCGTAAGAGTAAACAGGTCTGATGTAATGGATTTAGGAAAATACATTGTACTATGTTAAAGTAACTCCATTGAAATTTGTTTATTACTCTTCAGACAGGGTTTTCTGGAAATGTGATAATAATCTCTGTGTTCTACTTCGGAGGCCACATGATGGCAGAGTCCAACATCTCAATGGGAGACTTAACTGCATTTTTGTTGTATGCTGCATATGTTGGTGCTTCTTTGAATGGTATGTGCTCCTAAGTCATCATTAAATTAACATGAATGAAAATGATTTATTAAATGATAACTTAGATTTGGTATTTTGATTCAAATAGTTCTTCAAGTGAAGGTAGTTTTGTTTGAGCCATATTACTTGCCGTCTTGATAAGTATATTGAATGGGTGTTAAATGAGAAGCGATGAATTCCCACACTAGCGGGCACCAGTGATATTCGGCAGCGCCAAAATTGTGTCATTTTTGTAAGAAAGAAAAGTCTTTAACTTTGTTATAGAGAATTAAAGATTGTGTAGCAATCTTACAATTTTTCACTAAATCTAACAATTGAATAATTTTTATTTTATAGGTATCACAAGTTTTTATACGGAATTGAATAGAGGAGTTGCAGCTAGTGAGAGAATCTGGAATCTCATTGATCGCAAGCCACTCATAGGTATAGTAGTTATTGACTGACATTTTCTGAACAACTCAAAGGTATAGTAGTTAATGATACTTGCAAAGGATTAGACCACAGTTAGATAAAAGATTTTATACACTACTATTTCATGATATTTTTCTCAGAGCTAGATTCCATGTCTAAGCCCGCAATCACACTGAATGCTATTGAAGGGGAAATCGGCATGAAGAATATGGCATTCAGTTATCCCTCCAGACCGGATGCAAAAATCTTTTCTGATCTGTCACTCAGTATACCTGCTGGATCTATCACAGCCATTGTTGGGCCAAGTGGTTCAGGAAAGTCAACTCTGGGTGCACTTCTGCTGAGGTTTTATGATCCTGATGCAGGTAAAATGTCAGCTAAAATATTTTGGTGAAAAGTTTAAACAAAATTATTTGGTAGACCAGCACATATCATGTGTTACATTGAAACCTGAAAAAAAAAAATTAATGCCCTTTAATAGCTCATGCCTAATAATAAACTTGTTGATGGAAGTAAGATCATTTTTTATGTAATGCTCAGTCTGTAGTGTATGAAAACATTGCATTTTATTGTTTAAAATTTACACTAATTGTGTTTTCTTTATGGATAAAACTACATGATTGCAGAAATATATTGGCTTTTTTGTGTTGGAGCTTAAATTATTTGAAGAAATGTTTGCTATAAAATATGGAGCTAGCAATGCCTTTAAAATTATTTATTGAATCTTTCTTCTTACAATTACAAGGAATAATAACTCTTGATGGACATGATATTCGGGACTTTGAACCCAGGTGGTTGAGATCAAAGATTGGAATAGTTAGTCAGGTAAATCTAAAGTTTTTTTTTTTTTTTTTTTACAATTAAAAGTCTTATTTATAATTAATTTTCTCATCAAATTTAAAAAAAAAAAAGAATATGTTTTCTTAAGTATCTGTGATGGCCCTAGACAAGATAAGCCTAATGCCAAATTCAGACCTTTGTACATATTTGTTAGCAATAAGCCCGTATTCACAAATATCGGAATTAAACATTAGAACCTGATCAAAATTAAACGATTTTTCCACTACTATTGAAAACACATCTGAAAATAAAACCTTTGTTCAGACTTAGCTTAAAACTTAAAAAATAGCATCCATTTATTTCCCATTTTGTTACTAATTTTAGTAATTGACTTATGGCAAATACACGCAAATACTAATTAACACACATACTCTGATTGAGCTTACACTCTTAAAGCCCTGGCTAGTACTCTGCTGGGCTTTGCCATATAATGTCATAACGTAGGACTCTCTCTCTCGCCACCCTGGCCTTCCCCGCAATATCCAGTGCAGGGCATGAAGTCAGCTGATGAGCTGGTGTCTCCAGGGCCTGTTGCTTTCTAGCCTGTTGAAGAGTGCTTTAGCAGGGCAGTGCTTGGTTCTCATTTGTTGTCTGCCACCTGATTTCCAGGGAGCGGCATGTTAGCAAATACTCCTGGCCTTTGTGCTGTCTGCTCATTGTCTGTACCACTTTGTTCAAAAGTGATCAGCTAGTCAGTTTTTGACACCAAGTTAAGTGACTGGTGTTTCTGACTGAGACGGAGCCTCTAACATTTACGTGGCTTGGTATCCATCGCCATATTTTCAATACTGCACCACTCAATGTGGCTGTTATATAGGTAAGGTTTTTGAATGAGTTTTGACTGAAGCATTTTTTGCAAGCTGCTTCAATTATATTCTATCATTCTATCGCAGGAGCCAATTTTATTCTCAACTACCATTAAAGAGAACATTTCATATGGATCAGAGATTCCTGAAACTGTTCAAATGGATGAAATAATATATGCAGCTAAGAAAGCCAATGCCTACAACTTCATTCAGGAATTTCCAGATGGTTTCAATACTTTAGTTGGTGAAAGGGGAATAATGTTGTCAGGTATAGTAATTATGTACTGTCACTTTAATTAGATGATGATGTCATCAGTTTTTGTGCTGTTGTTGTTAATCATGGGTCTCTGAACTATAATGAATGGACTTACTGTTGAATAGTTTTCAATTATATGTTAAAAACCTAATCTACCTATCAGATAGCAAACAAGAAATTTGTGTAAGTCTTAATAACTTCTAAGAAAATGATTTTAGAACAAAAACTGTGCTACTCATAGTGTCTAGAGCTAACTTATTATTGTGATTATTACAGTAAAACAAGCTAAAGACGTGGTTACATGCACATTAATTTGGTATTGCTTTACTTGTGAGCATACATAAAATTTTCATTATCCAAACCTGATAAAACTTTAAATTTGACACAGCATTAGATCTTTTTTGTTTTGTTTGCTGAATATATAACAATTCTTTTTACAGGAGGTCAGCGGCAAAGAGTTGCCATTGCCCGAGCAATTCTAAAGGTAAATTTATTAAATTTTTTTGATTTAGTAAACTAAAAAGAAATCAGCAATTATACACCAATTATACATTCACATTTTGTGACTTAAATTATGTAATTTTTAAAACATTTATTTTCACAGAGGTCCCCTTCTTTATAATGAACATTATTTTTCATGTAAACTACATTTTCAGAATCCCAAGATTCTTATACTTGATGAAGCAACCAGGTAATTTATATAAACGTTTAAGTTTTAGATGGAAAAACATTTTCAACCAGAAATTTTATTCAAGTTGAAGGGCAGACATATTTATGAAACCCGTTTACAAAAACTGAAAACATTGTTGAATAAATGGGGCATCATTATGGGTCTCTGAAACAAATTTATTAATTTAATTATATTTATACCAAGATTTGAATTTTGAATTATAATACATCTTCAAGCAGGGGTCTGGGAACTTTTTAGCCATTACTCCAATATATATTTGTTTTATCTGACGTTTTCCCTGATTTGAAAGGAGTAAAATCATAGATTATTTACATTCAATATGGTTATTCAATCTATTTGAACGCAAAATAAATGTATAAATAAATAAACATACAAAATAAATGCAATTAAAGAAATTAATAAAATCCTTAGTTAAGGAACAAAAGGATTTCATGGGGAAAAAAGATTAACTTAAATGGAGAAGTGATGTTTTATTTTTTATGCAAACAATAACAAATTAGGAGAGCAATTTGGAAGGGGGGCATTATTATATTATGTATGCACTGAGTGGGGCAAAAAGGGGTTGTTGATTTAGAAGATTTTTCATGTGGGGCAAATGGAGAGAGGGGGCTCTCAGGAGGAAGTATATACATTTATGCACAAATTCTGCAGTATATTATCCTGAAATTTTGACGGTTTCTAACAAAACCAACTGTCATCTGTGATATCTAATTATTTTCAAAAAGGCTACAATGTTTCATAATTATCATAACACAGTGGGTGACACAAAAAATGGAAAATAGTAGGCAGTATTTGACAGAAATCGATCAAGTTACCATTCAAAGAGAGGTCCGAGCATATTAACAATGTATATAACCAAGCAAACAAGGCGAAATCTAAAGATTGGCAATTCCTGTGTGAAAGAAAGAGCATATAGAGCCTTTATCCGTCCGATTTTAGATTATGCATCTTCAGTCTGGGACCCATTTACCCAGAAGAGCATTGACAGGTTGGAGGCAGTCCAGCGACGAGCAGCACGCTTTGTCCTAAACCGCTACAGGAATACCTCTAGTGTTGGCAGCATGCTAGAAACACTAGGCTGGTCACCATTGGAGAAACGACGATGACAATCCAGGCTCTCCATGATGTACAAGATAAATAATGGGCTGGTCCACTGTTCCAGTATTAAACAGAAACTCGTCCCTCTCCCCCATAGACAGCGACGAGGCCATGACAGGCAATTCAGGCTCATACCAGCAAGAAGCCAGTAGAGGAGCTGCTCATTCCTGCCCAAGACAATCAGGGACTGGAACAATCTTTCAAAAGGAACCGTTGAGGCGACAACACTAGACACATTTGTGTCTATTGCCTCAAGCCTTCAAACCCCTAGTGCATGATTTCCTCATCAACACCAGTAACAGAAACATTGCAAATCCCATCTACATGCATAGGAGCCAAAACCCTAGTGCATGATTTCCTCATCAACACCAGTAACAGAAACATTGCAAATCCCATCTACATGCATAGGAGCCAAAATGATCAATAAATTGATCGTGGGCCCTTAAGATATAGAAGAAGAAGAAGTTGGTTTCATAACAGATCTAAGTTAAATGCATGAGAAAGAAATAAGAAAAAGAGTGCCACAGCACTTGGTGCCACAAGTCAAAATGTGCCATTATTATTATGCTAACTGCAGTTGTGTTGCAAGGGTTAGTGCAACCCTTAGTGGGCCATGCTTTGCTCTGCCCTCTTCCATGAAAAAACTGCAATTGGCAGAAAATACTGCTGCACAATAAAAGGGAAAAGTGCGCCGCCCGGGGCAGACCGCTTACTCTGCACCCCTCTTCCTAAGACACTGGCCCGCTACCAAGCAAATAGTAAACACAACATTTTAAATGCATTTCTCTGTTTACTGGCCAGATGCAGTGTTGCCAGAATAAAATTGTTTTGATAGAAGAAAGGTTTAAATATATAATTTGTAATTTTATTTATTTCTCTTGAACCCTCATTACCCCCAAGATTTTCATTTTGGGGTTATCTTCCCTGGTTGGCCTCCATCTATCTTAAAGTTAAAGAGACCCTTTAAAAAAAGGTTACACTGATAATTGTTTGTTTTTTTAATCAGTGCTTTAGATGCAGAGAGTGAATATCAAGTTCAGGATGCACTTGAGGGCTTGATGGTTGGACGCACAGTACTGGTTATTGCTCATCGCTTGTCAACCATCAAATCAGCTGACAATATTGTTGTCCTAGATTCAGGTAAAGTTGTAGAGAGTGGACCATATGATCATCTGATTGGCCTGAAAGATGGATTGTTCAAAAAACTTGTGGAGAGACAAACCCTTATAAAATAAAAAATGTTTATCCTTTAACAATTTTCTATCAAGGCATTACAGAGACAATTGACTAGGTCATTAACTAGATTTAAACCACAAAAGATCTTTCAATGCATAAATCCAGTTTGATGTCTGTGATAAATAGACTTAATAATAATTTTTTTTGACATAGAGACATAATGCACATTTTTTGACATGGCTTTTATGTTTCTTTTTTTTTTTAAATACTATGAACCATTAGTGACTCCATAGACAATTCATAATTGAGAGTTAATAACTATTTAGTATTTTCATGAAACCAATTATTTTAAACTTAATGAAAGTAATGTCTTTTTTTAAGGGGGTAAATTATGTTAGGAATTAAAGATATTTAACATGCAACATTTAAGATAACAAATTCTAGTTACAGTAAATACAAAAGATGGCCTGGATTTTATTTTTTTTTGTTTATTAATAGTTGTTATATAACTTTTATTTTGGTACAGAAAGATAGAATTTAAAAATTAAAAACCTTATAAATTATGAAATAAGTTAATTCTTTTAAAAAATATAACAATGCATAATTCTTTTAATAAAATAAGATATTATATCCAATATTCACCTCAAGATTTTGCATGTGCTCACTTGTAAATCTTACCAACTCATAATTTGAGACTATGCTCATAAACTTAAAAAACATTTTATGAAAAATTTAATGTTTATATTGATTTGATATTTCTTATCATTATTTTTTGCCACAAAAGCGCTTTAGATTAAAAAAAAGAGCCATGGTTTTTATTTTAAATAAATTGTGAAAATACAAAATGTATTTCAATTATTTTTTAATTTCCCTTTTGAACTCCTGTTACGGTACTCATATTATTTAATAAATAAACTTTAATTAAGCTTTGAGGGGCAGTACATAGTCATTCTTTGCATTACTATTTACTTTGTGTGTCAAATCAATATGTAGATTTAAAGTTTAGAAAATTCTTAAAATAATGGACATTCTCTGAGAATGAGAGAAAACTTTGGTAATGTCATGATATGATGACTCTCATATAGTTGATGCAATTTTTTTACTGCTCTTTCTGACATAAAATTTTTATGAAAGGAAAATTGTGTGTATTCCGAGAATATGGTTGAAAGCAACATTTTATCACATCCGCCTTAACATTTTTATTATTTAAAAACGTATGTCAAGTCTATGTGTTATGAAAAATAGTGCTTTGTTCTAATTCCATTATATTTTGTTTTCTCACATTGCTGTTCTAGAATACTTCAAAAACATGCAACAAGTGATTGATTTCATTACTCTCCATGCTAGCCATTTATGCTAGCACTAAACACTTATTGGCTTTTCATGATCTTGGTGGAGTAATCATGTCTTTCATTCAATCCTTACTGTCCTTATATTATATGAAATGATCATGTATATTTCTTTTCTTTAATTTTTCTTTTCTGAAATGTATTTCTAAGAAAGATAGTTTTTTTTTTACTAAGTGTTTAATATTGTTTCAGAATCATGAGTTTTCAACTGCTCTCAATTTACTTATACCCTTAATGAGAATTATAGCACTACAAATTTGTTTGATATATCAAATGAACTTAAATCAGGCTTGTCAAGAATGGCACCAATTTTAGAGTGACAGTGAAGTAAGATAAAATCAAAGTAATGAACCTAATACAAGTGTTAAAATTTAAAACCAGTGACATTGTTGTAGCGTTGAAAGTAACACTTTTCAGACCCCAGATTAGCCTAAAAGGTTCCAGCTCTGGTTTAACAAATTGAGACTAAAATCTCACTTCTTCTTGTCTGCAGCACTAATAAAGAAGATGAGCATTTAAAATATTTTTTTGGCGTGGAGTTTGGCCAATTAAATTGGTGGTAATGTCTTTTTTTAATGCATTTTTCAGTTTATTCAGGCAGCAGTTCTTGAGAAGAAACTGGCCTTTTGCTTTGTTAATGTAATTAGAGGACCAATACTCTCTGAATGAGTTTGAAAATCTTGGTTATGAAATATTTTCACACTTTCTAATTGTATTAAGGATCAAGGAATAGTAAAACTGTATTGTTCTAAAACTTAACATTGATTGACCAATGAACACATGAAATAAGAGACATAAGGATCTTGGGTTCATTTTGCCTTTGTGGTTAACACTAACAATGGCACAACAAGCTATTCATCCCCTGTGCCTGTAAAAAGATTTCAATGATCCTAAAGAATTTATGAGTGCATAATGTGGTAAATATAAGTAAATCAAAGTAGAATTGTGTGTTTTTTTGTGGTTTTATTTTGTTGTGTTAATTTGGCAATAGAAAAGCAAATAAGTTGTTATTATATTTATTCTGGTAATTAAGTAATACCCATTCCCGCTGCTATTTGATGCTATTAAGAGTTTTGTTTAACTATAGTTACCAAATACTGCAGTGGCTACACTATGTTATTTACACATTGTGAAATTATTATTTTTTTTTTTTACTGTTTATGACTAATTTTCATGTGTTTGAGTTTGACACTAATATCAAACTTATCAGTCAAACACACAAGGTATCAAAACACCATCAACTTGTGAGTACTTTTAATTTGGTCTGAAATTCTTGGAAATTACATAACTTAAAAACTCATCTTTTTATGAATGTATTCTTGAATCACATAGAATACATTTGTTAATTATGAGACCTGATTGGTATATTCCACTACACTTGTATATTTGGCAACTTTATTTTGCATGTGTTTGAAGCAGTAGTTAGAAATTTTGGTGTTTGGTTTTTTTATATTACACTTTATTTTTATAAAATCAACAAGTGCATTAACCAATTGTTATCTTTTCTAGTCAGTTATGGCAATTTGTGCTAGAGATTAATTTTATTATAAGTTGAAACTTCACTAGAAAAGGCCAGTTCAAAAGGTCATAAATTTGATCAAAAAGTTTTCAATCACAATGCTATATTTTCATAATGCTGAACTGTCACTTTTTATTGTGAGATGTACCTAATGGATGTTACTAAGTAATTTTTATACAGTCTTTGAAACAAGAACAATTTTAATTTAAATATTGAATCATTTGACTTAACTATTTTACTAAAAAATTGTAATGGATTATATACGTCAGTGCCACTTGTCAAAATGGGGATATAACATTGAAATCCATTTATTTGGGTATGTGTAAATGAGGTATAAAAACATTCGATAGATGGAGTAACGCTTACCATACTGAGATCAAATGCATTTAGACTAAAAAGACTAAGGAAATGAGTATGCATAAAACTGTTGTGCACATCGTCAGTTACTGTAAGAATTGGTGTTGAAACATTCATTTGAAGATTTTTTTTACATAAATCATTGCTGTAATTTTCAATTGATGAGTAATAATTACTATACATATATATATAGTTATATAGAAGTAATGAAAAGCTAACACCTTAACTTTATTCACAAATTCTGTTAGCTTTTATAGCTTTGCAATTGTGGAAATAATACTAATAAAAACTGCTTAAATGTTTTAATCAATCAAAATAAATTTTCTTGACATCTTGTGCACAATCAAACTTCTTATATGCACATGTCATTCCAAATTAGCTAAGTCTGTGATAATTCATGTGTCATTTTTTTAAAATTGTATAACAGAAGTGCCTATTTAAAAAAATTAATATTTTGTTTACTGCATTACTAACATCCATGACGTGAAACAGATGCTCTGAGGTAACGCTATATGCACCCGAGTTTCTTAACACCTGTATGTTACTCAACAACTTTCTGTTACATTTTAAAATAGGAAATAATTTTTTAAACCTTTTTTTTTTAATAGCAAGTTGAACATGGTGAAAATATTGTATATCTATTATATTGAAAGTTACTTGTGTAATTTTATCTGGTTTATATGCAAGAAATTTTGGACATGTTAGGTAAAAGAAATTTGTCAGTTGTGTCTAAACTGAATTCCCCATGTTGCTATGACACTTAGATACAAATTTCACACATAAACAAAATTTAAAAGGAGGCTATGATTGAAGATGTTTATAAAAGCATATTTAACAACTTTACAGCTAGATTGGAAAAATCAATGTACCAAATTTTAAAATAAAAATTGCTTTATATTTGAAAAAAACTGGCCAATTTATACAGAAAAAATAATATTTTTGGAATAATAATTTTTATTTAGCTATTCTTTTGTTCACCTAGGAATGAAAACATTGTTATTTTAGACCATTTAAAATAATTTGAAATCCTAAGGGATGGTTGAAATTATTTGTATTTCAAGGTCAGAGTATTTTGTGACAGAAGTATTACAAAATGATAGCATTAATGGCAGGTTTTTTTTAGTTAGCACATAAGATATGCCACATGAACTTTTTAAATTTTTTTTCTATTGTTTCAATGCATCCCATGTGATTTTAAATATTTAGTCATGTATAAGCATGTCATATTTAACCAGATTTTAAAGGAATAGCTTTTTAGTAAGTGGTTTTGTAGTAGATTTAGTGTTTTTTAGAAAACACAGATTATAATGTTGTGTAAAATCTCCAATTAATACCCACTTGCCACTTCAGTCTGTAGCAAAAGTTGTGGTAAATAATTTTTTTAAATTTGCAGAATCAGCTGTCTTAACTTCAACATTTTGCAATTTTTTAAACCACATAGCCCCCAAACAAAATTTACATTATGCTGCTGGCCCATATGATGTTATGTCACATAGTGGTGAATATTTATTGCGTACAAATAGTATAATAGAAATGCTGAGCATTTTGTTATTTGAAATTTTTATGTTGCAATTTATGAGCGTAACATATTTGTGAAATAATAAAAAAGCATAAAGATATCTTTATATGATCGGTTTCAGGTAGGTTTCCCTTTTAGTTCACAGAACTGAGCAAAAATGGTGTGTAGTTTGAGATTTTATGGTAGGTGTGATTTTAGTTAGCAAATTTTACAGCATGTATCATATAAAATATTTATAGATTAGGTTTTCTAAATTAAAAAGTTAGGTTTTCTAAATTAAAACGTGTGTTTCTAAAATGTTTTTGCACAGTTAAT